TAAACCCGTGGTGATGGCTGGGGCCAGGTCCCCATGGCGTGTGTGGGAGCCCCACCGCAGGCCTTGGGCCCCACAGGCCCTGGTTTAAATTAAACAAGGAGCAGGAGAGAGGCCAGGGCCGTCCCCTGCCCTGGGGAGAGCCCTGCCGAGGGCAGCCCCTCACACCAAACCCTTCCCTGAGACCTGCAGCTGGGTTCAATTCACCGACCTGGGTAATTTTTGTGTTAGTCCCCATGGCGTGTGTGGGAGCCCCACCGCAGGCCTTGGGCCCCACAGGCCCTGGTTTAAATTAAACAAGGAGCAGGAGAGAGGCCAGGGCCGTCCCCTGCCCTGGGGAGAGCCCTGCCGAGGGCAGCCCCTCACACCAAACCCTTCCCTGAGACCTGCAGCTGGGTTCAATTCACCGACCTGGGTAATTTTTGTGTTACATCTCTCCCTCCCTCCTCACGAGAGCTTCGTCTCTGACAAAGCCTTTCAACGGCGTTTTGGCAGCCAAGCCCTGAACAAAGCTAGCAGCCACGGCTGCTGCGTCCCGCGGAGGTTTCTGGGAGACGAACAGAGCCGTTTCATGTTTCTTTTCTCATTCTTTTTCCAGCAGAGCCATGGAGGTCCCTGCAGGGCTGTCTGCCGGAAAGGAGCCCTCTGCCTTGCCCGCTGCTGCAGCTGTTCCCAGTGACTCACAACCGACACCAGCAAAACCAGTACAGATCGCAGTACTGACGGCGCAGGACCTGGTAAAGTTCTTCTGAGAGTGTCTCTGCCCGTTTAGTAAACGAGGCCAGCGCGATTCTGTGTGCTGCGATCCCATTCGAGAGCAGGCGTGAGGTGATTTAAGGCGATAGGAAGGAGTGGTGAGAATATCGGGGATTCAGCGATGCCACACTGTGGCTTCCTCCTCCCACTGAGGGAGGAGGACAAGTGTTCACACAGTCAGGGCTCGTGATCCACGTAGCTTGGGGAATGTGACTCCTCAGCAGCCATCCAGAGACCCTGTGTTGAAATGTACCCCCCTGCCTTCTCTCTATGTAAATGGCAGCTTTTTTTTAAGCAAAACAGTGAAAATGTGTAGCGGTGAGACAAATACCTCTAAAAAAATCCAACCTGGGACATAAAGTTAGAATTTAATCCCAGCTGCAGCTGTTTCAATCGTGTTGAAACCAATGGGGCGGCTCTTGTTTTAAAAAGGCGGTGGTTCCAGTGTGGTTACAGGGCAAAACTACGAGCTGGTTCCGATCAAACCATAACTACTGTGATTTCCATGTGCTGCATGATGCACCCAGCTGTCCAAAAAAATCTTCTAGAGGAACTGGCATTTAGGAGGGAATGCGGAGGAGAAGCTCAGCTACTGCTGCAAGCAGAAAAATGCAAATCCCTGCTTCTGCTGTAGCAGCAGACAAAAAAAGAGAAAGCAAACCAAAAGCACCTGCCTGGGGTTTTTTTTGAGGTTTTTATTTTGTAGCATTTGAGTATGTCTCACGCTGATAGATTCAGTAAACGGCATCTTAGGCGAGAAGTAAAATGTAAGAGGAGGGAAAACAATGCTGAATATAACAGACCAGTGGACTGATTGCACCCGGAATGTTGCTTTGTAGTTCTGATTGTTCCATCTTAGAAAAGGCTATGGCAAACAGAGAGAGGGTTACAAAAGTGCAATAATAACAACAATATGAAAAAAAAATCCAGCTAGAAGAAGTGTGGAATCTGCTTAATTAGAGGTGATGTAGAGAAGGATGAGAGAGGAGTCTAGGATAATTAATGGTGCAGAGAAAGGTTAATTGGATTCTTCTGTTTAGCCTTTCATAGAATATATGCTCAAGGAGACAGTCAGAAGGACTGAAAATTAAAACCAAGTGAATGAAATCTCTTTTTGTGTGAGAGCCAATATGGATTTAATTACCACAGTGACACGGCACGCCCATGGAGATTAGGCATCCCTGTGGCTCACGACTAAAGCAAAACTGGGTTTGGGTACAGGGTTCCTCGTGTTCAGGGCAGCGGTGGCCTCTCTTCCCTGGACAGAGAAGTAAACCGTGTTTCTCCTGCAGGGAGGCTTTTGGGTAACTGCCTGTCTCAGCACTTCTTGTGCTGCTGCGGAGGTGCCCGGTGCTGCCTGTTTGGCCAGGGCTGCCCGGGCACGCCGAGCCCAGCTGCCATCTGCTGTGCTCTCACCATGCCTGGTCACCCGTGTTTAATCCCCACTGCAGAGACATTTTAAAATTTGAACCTCCTCATCTCCGCTTAAAGCAAGTGGTATGAAGGTGGCGTTACAAATTCCAGAGCTCCCCAAAGAGCTTGCTGGAGCCCTCCTTTGATTTCTGGGCATTCTCCAGCCACGTGATATACACAAGTGTCCCATGAGCTCAGCCACGCAGCGCAGGAGCTACCTTCTTAGGAGTTGACAAAGGTCTCAAGCTTCCTGGAAGCACAGAAATATCAATGGGATATTTTGGGGTTTGATTTAGATGTGTCTTATGTTTTTGGGTTAGCTTTAGATGTGTATTTCATTGCCTTCCCTGAGGTGAAGCCTGGACCTCTCCATCTCCCCTGCCCTTCCAGCAGCAGGTCTTGATAAGCCCTGGGGCACCACAGCGTGGTGGAGCAGGATATTTCCCTCCTAAAGACAGGAAAGGGTGAGGTCTCGGCACAACCAAGCCCTGGTCCTCTTCCCCATTCCTGTAGTGGAACAGCCAAAGAGCTTCACCAGTGTACGCTGTCCCGGAGCTGAACCGAGCTGCCTCTCAGAGGCAACTTTGATCCTGGGCCCGTTGCTGCAGAGCCAGCTGCTTAATGTGTTATTTGTTTGACAGAAAAGTATCAAAAGCGATGTGTCAGTTACTTTGGTGCGTGTGGAGTACAACGGAGCGATCTTGGGAGACTCCTCCAAGACTGACGTCTTGCCAAGCGGGACAGCAACCTATAATTTCACGACCAGCTTTGAGTGCAGCCCCGATGGGCCCAACTCCTTGGACGACATTGCGCACAAACCTGTGCTCTGTAAGTACCGGATGCTGAATCTCCCTCCTTGGAGGTGCGTGCTGTCAGCTGCTCCCCTCTGCCTGTCTGTCGCGGGAGTCACTTGTTCAAGAATAGCACTTCAGCAGTAGCGGTGGGGGGATCTCAAGCACTTCTGTTCCCATCTCTGCCAGCTGGAAGAATCCCCTTTCATGTTGGCCTCTGCTCCTCGGCTTCGCTGTTCTTGTCGGCCTTGGGAGATGAAGTAGGAGCGTGTGCCGGAGCTGACACAGACCTTTTGCAGCCCCTGAACTGCTGGTCTGAAGCTGTCTGAGCAACTCTGCCAGCTCCTCTCTCTTCATCTCTCTAGTGACAGTGATAGAAGTGTTGCAAAAGGAGAAGAAACAGAAGGAGAAGACCGTGCCTCTTGGCCAAGCTGTGGTGGACCTTCTACCTCTGCTGCAAGGTACAACATTGACTTCCACAGCCTCCGTAACCACTTATTACTCCCTGGCACTTTTTGATCTTTGCTTATGGGCCCCCAACTTCAACTTACCTCCTTTTGACAAAATGCACTTCATAGCATCTGTAGAAAGCTGGGTCAAGGGGAAGAGGGGGTGACATCAGTGGCTCAGCGTTAGGAGTTAGGCCATGACTTCTCTCCAGAGAGTCTCACTTGATGCTGTTCTCATTCCTGTGTCTTCTCAGGACAGTGTTCATTTAAGGTCTCGGCTCCTTTGTATGCAGTGCCCCCTTCTCCATTAGAGAGCCTTCACCCGGAGGCCAAGGTATGTGGAATTTGGAACTGTTCCTTCACTCGTTCGCCTCTCTGCTGCTTTTTAATGGGAAGGCGAGCATGACTCAGCCGCCTAGCTCATCACGGATATGTTACGGCCCTATATGTTACAAGCTTGGAGGCCTTTCCTACTCCCATTGACGTCTGTCCCTCGTTGCCTATGATAGGTGAGGTCGTGCTAGGAAATGCTAATGCGTGCAGCTACCAAATTGCTCTGGAAAAAGATATTGAAGGTGGAACACATAGTGCTGAAAAATCAGAAACAGACCAAGGCAGGATTACCTGCCCAACTTTATTAGTCTTCCTTTCTGTGGATAAAATGTCTGAATCCATTATTGTACGAGCTCCAACTGCTTTTCCTGCAAGGTCCTTATTCACTCAGCCGGTTGAAAAGTACCCAGTGAGTAAAGCGGGGAATGAAGTATGAGACTGGGAAAATGTGTCTAATTTTGCTCCTGAGTCTGCCCGCAGTTAGCGCTGCGAGTGAATTGGAGGGGCGGATATTGCATTAACTTTACTGTGTTTAAGAGGTGTTACACAGTAAGCAAGGCAGGGGGGCACTCATTAGGGAGGAGAATTAATAAATGCAGACCAGCTGGTTTTTCATTGCACGCCATCCATCCAGGGCTGGGACAGGTAATTAAAGACTGCGCACAGTGCGTGGAGATAGGGCAGAGTTGAAGTGTGGCCCTCGCTTTGGCGTGCTCTGAATCACCAGGGGGGAAACCATTATTTTCCATCCCTGATGTTCTTTCTCTGTGGCTTGTTTTATGAGACCCTGGCTTTTTCCCTGGCTCATTTTCTGAGACCCTTGGGGGGTATGCTGAGACCCTTGGGGCGTATGCCGTGCCTCAAGCAGGCTCCGATTTAAACAAACAAATACCCCAATTCAGACAAATTGATCATGAAATTCCTTTCCTCTGCTGGTCTGTTTTCTTTTACATCTGAGGTGAGGAATAAGACAACATTATACAATTCTGGCCTTGGGTTTCTGCTTGCTTCTCCCTCAAGAGCGGGAGAGTTGTAGTTGTCTGATTACTGGCTCTGCTTTATCCTCGTCCTACAGGGTGGCCTTGAAGTGACAGTGTGTGTCGAAGAGCCCCTGCTTTCTGCAGAGCAGCTTTCAAATGGTAACCTCCTGAGTGTCACGCTGGAGGCTGCTTATTCTGTCCCTGAAGCATTTGCTCCCACCGGACCCCCCCAAAACTACATGGCTTGCTTGCAAGTACCAACAGCTGGGGAGGTGAGGATTGGCCCAGGCATGGGGAGAGGGATTTTGGCTGCTACAAAGTGGATTCTTCTCCCACATCACACACCGTGGAACAAGTTTCCGGGCCTGTGGGGTGTACAGCTCCTGGGCTTTTGCAACAGCAGCCTTTGTTGCGAGTGCTCAGAGTGTTTGTCTCTGTGGCATGAGGTGTTTGTTTAACACAAACGAAGGCCTGCTTGGCGAGATTTGGATTGAAACTGGCAGGGTTTTTTTCTGCATGGCTATTTATATTTTCTCCGTTCTTTGTACGTGTGTAGCAGAGTGTGTTTTCCAAGCCAGGCCCCTGCACTGCTGCTTTGCTTTGCTTTGTTAGACCCAGCTCAGAGCAGCTGGCACTTGCTCCTGCTCATGTTGGAAATGCAAGTCCTTTCATTCTCCTGTCTATCTAGAAGGAATTCCCCTTGCTCTTCAAGAATGGCATCCTGAAGCTTGCCGGTGAAAAAGAGCCATTACCCCGGCCCAAAAAATGGTCCCTTGCGAACATCATGGCTCCTGGTGCTCTGAGCATACCCAACTCCTTCATCGTTGGTGGTCCCTATGAGGATGAGGATGGAGAGCTCAACAAAAGAGAGGTGAGGGAGGACTGGCAGTGTCATGGCTGGAAGAGAACTAGCAGTCCTCACTGAAGGGACTGAGAAAGACTTGCAGAAACTGGTTATGGGAGGAAGGGAGGAAGGCGAGCGGTCAGTCATCTGCGCAGTGTCCAGACATGGCAACGGTTCCCCTGGGACAGCGGCTGTGCTGACTCACCGCAGGAGAGTTCCCTGGAGTGCATGTGGCAGGTCTGGTCACCAGTAAGCTACCCACTCCTGAGCTGCTGGGCTGGGCGTTGTATTATCTCCTTGTGAGCCAGGCTCTTTATATTAATGGGCTCTGGTGCCTGCAGGGAGGGCTGCTAACTTACTCTGCTGGGATGGCCTGGGTTTGGTGAGTTGGGCACCTCTCTGTCTGACTCACGTTGTCTCCCAGGGGTCATTTGGGGATGATGTAGAGATTGCTGTCCTGGCTCTGACTGCACGCTGTTTCTCACAGGACAGGGAGTTTAGGATCCAAGCGGAAAGCATGAAGAGAATCGTCTGGGACATGGAAAGGCGCTGTTACCTGGATCCCGCTGCAGTAGGCATGTAAGGGACCTGAGAACATCCCTTCCAGCATGGAGCAGTGGGGAGAAACCACCCTAGGAGGCACTCAGCCGAGTGACCTGTCTCAGGCAGAGAACAGCAACATCCAGATGCTCTCAGACCTCTTACGTGGTCAAATCACAGCCCTGCCTCACCTGCTGCTATGGCTGTCTGTTGGCTAAAGGTGTTCACATGAGCAAGGGAGCAGCTAACTGCCTTTAATCGCTGGCAGCAGCTTTGTTTTGCTATGGTGGGAAAGAATTGGCTGTAGCTGTTGTCTCCAGGCTGTAAAGGCTCACTCATGCTGCCAGCAACTGGAGCTGGTGGCTGTTCCCTCTGCCGTTTGAAGGAAGGGACAGCAGAGTTCTGGTGAGCAGAGATGTAGTAGGGTGGCCCACACAGCTCTCCTCTGAGCTGCTAATTAAGTTTTGCTGAATTCCCAATACATTAAAATCCTTTCACTCCATGTGGGCACTCTTCATTTGCTTTTTTATTGGAGAAACGTTACCTTTAGCAGCTGTAGATAGGCTCAAGATCAGGATAAGTATCCCATTTCTCTTTGAGTCCTGCTACGCTTTTGGCTTCAGCTGCGTCATGGCTGTGAGTTTCACAGCCAAATGCGTGGAAATACTCCCTTCTGTCTGGTTTGATTTTTAATTTTATTTTTTTCCCCTACACTTTCATCAGCTTGCCTGCTGGTTTCAGAGTTACCAGGCACATTGAATGGGAGCTCAGGGTCCGCTTGCTCTGTGCTATTCAGGATTTATACCAAAGTTAATCGTGTTCCTTCATATTTGTTTCATTTCTGAAGTAACCAGGGGAGAGAGAAAACCTACTGTGTCGCTCTCACAATTGTTTTATAGCTGGTTGTGCCATAAATGCACACAGTGGTGGATGAAGAAGAAAATGTACCGAGCCTGCCCCAAAGCACACATGTTCCAGTGGCCCGAGGGTGCTTGCTGTGGGACTGGGTCGAAGCAAACCCAAGGTGGGGGGGGATATTTTGGGGCTGCTGGGGCAGAAAAGAGGGCAGTGTGGCTCTCCAGCTTGGTTTCTGCATCTTCTCAGTGCTCTCCTTTGTGTTCAGCCTGCAGAAGCGCATTGCGGAGTGCCAGTACTGGCCCGTGGAGGTCTGCAGGATGAATGTGGCCTCACCCAGCAAAGGAAAAACTAGCAAAGCTGACAAGGTAAAACTGGGGAGGGATATGTTGTTCTGGCTTGTGGAGCTGCGTGGTGTTATCAAGCCGTTTCCTTTCAATGCCTTTGTAATACCAAAACCAGCTTTGAACCAGCCCAAGCAAGTCAGAGAGCTAGAGGCTTTGTAAAGGGATTAATCAGCCTTACAGACCTGTTAAATCGACAAAGGATAGTATTTTTTCCTTATAGCATACAGACAGAGCTCTTGCTGACAGTCTGTGGTAGCTCGGTGCAAAGGGAAAGGGTGCTTTTTGAGAACTGAGGTAATGCACTGAGCTTATCTTCAGCCAATGTTTTTTTTGGAGCATCTTGAAGAAATTCGTGCCTTCTTTCTCGGGGTGTAAATAAGTTACGCTTTAGCACATAAACTGGAGTTGTTTAACAAAGAAACAGCCCCTTAGCTAACAGTTCTGTTCCTGGTGGTCGGTTGTGTGAGCGCTCCTAATCTGTTCCAGGGCAAAGTCATATAAGTTGGTATAAAACCCTCTCAGCACTCGCTGGTGTCAGGGTTTTGCAGCTCTGATGGATAGCCTTCTCCCTTACCCTCACCGGTCCGCTGCTAGCCCAGACTCTCAGACCTCCTTCACTACCTGATTTCTGTCAAACCTGAGATGCACACCTCTCACTTGGATTTCTACCCACATGGTTGGTAATTTTGCAGCTGTACCTTGCAAAGACCATCCTGCGGAATAGCACAGTATGGGCACTAGAGAGAAAAGCTGCCCTGCAGGGATCGGGATAAAATTGATATTCTACATATCGAATGACTCCAGTGTTTTCGTCCAGGTTGTCTCGGCTGTGTGCCAGTGACAGAGAGCCACTGGCTCGTCAGGTGCTTCAGTTTGCTGTGTGGCCTCTCCTTAATGGGATCGGTGACCTTGTTTCCTTATGGAGAATAACAGTCCGTTCAGTATCTCTGTCCCTTGCTCTGCGTTTCCAGGGAGATGAGGACAAGCAGATTTTCTTCCATGGCGTGGCGTATGTCAACATGGTGCCTTTGCTGTGCCCCGGAGTGAAGCAGATCCGAGGTGCTTTTCGCATCTTTACCTACCAAGACAGCGAGGTGTTCGAGAAGGTGAGAGCAGACCGGACAACCAGGCTCTGCTCCAGCTCTGCAGCTGTCTTTGTGCAGGGTAGGGTTGGGAGCAAGCAGCACGGGCAGCGTGGTACTCGCAGGCTGGCTCTGAAACTTCGCTGCCCTTCTGGTGACGGAGAAAAATAATGAGCCAAGCTTTGAGGTGCAGACTTCTCGAAGGCAGGGGATTTCTGGGGGTGCGTGAGCAGATTTGGGGGCTGAGAGAGGCTCTGAATCTCCCTCCCGTTCCCTTCTCTGCCAGCGGCTGAGCAGGGAGAGCTGTAAGAACCCTCCTCTCTCCCCAGTCTGCAACATGGGCAAATGAACTGCATTGCTGGGAAGAGCAAACAGTGGCTCTAAAAGGATAGCGTTACCCCAGGCAACAACCAAAAAAGCTGTCACTGGAGCTCTTTCAGCTGTAGCTCACGGAGGTTTATTTGTCTTTGCGTTTCTCCCCCCTCTGTTACTAAGAGTGACAGTTACATCTCCATTTTCCCACAGTCGTCCTGGAACAGACCTGAGCTTGTTTCAGGAGGGCAGACGCACAGCCTGTGTATTTCTGCCCACGTTCCCCGTCGTGCTGCTGTCCAGGCCGCAGGAGCTGGGTGAATTACAGCCCTTCTCCATGGCCCCGATGGCCTTTGCGAAGCAGAGCTAGGCACACAGCTTTTTGCTGGTCTCTGCTTCATCACCGTGAATAATGGCCTCTTGGCTGCATGGTACTCCTTGTCCCGTAGCATTTATCTGTCACGAGTGACACATGCTCTGTCTGTCGTTATCTTGTGGTTTTGTGGATGCTCTGGGCTGCTCCTTGCCCTTGGTTTAGACGGTCTCGGTACCGCTGGTCCATCCTCTCCCCAGCAGCCCCTCAGTTCTTACTAACCCATATAACAGCGATGGCTGGGAGGGAACCGCCTGTCTAGGTGGTCAAGCAGTGTGTAAACAGACAATCTGAAAAACCTCTTCCTTGCAATTCACTGATGTGTGTCAGGGAAGCTGCTCCACACCAAAAGGTGAGCTGGGAGCTGAGATTCACCGCAGGCCTGCTGGGGGCACCCAAAAAATTGTAGAGCAGACCTGATGAGGGTAGCCAGATTCATCTAACAGTCCATCAGTAGGCAAGTCCATAGCTGTGAGGTAGGTCCAGGATCAAGCCAGGAATTCAGGCCAGTGGGTCAGGATTGGGGCAGTACAGGGCTTGGCTCCAGCGTATCTACCACATAGCTCGGGCAAGAATCAAGGGCCAGCGCCTTGGTGAAAATGCAGCTCTTGAGAAAAGACAGGGAGACCCCGCTGAGGTTTTCTCGGGTGTCTCATTTCACAGTCTAACCTGAGGCTTCGCAGCTGTACGGTACCAGACCTGGTCTTGAGCACCAGCAGCTGAACTCCTCCTCCTTATGATGTGAGAGGTTAAGGCAAAGAGGTGGGGAAGCCTAGTTTGTCCCTTGAGTCCCTCTGTTCTCTCTTTTTTTCAGACTAAATGTCAGCACAGTGTTTTCCGGGATCTCAGAACGCAGCTCAGTCTGACTAAGGAAGGGCCATGGACCCCAGGAATCAGTACTCCCTTTTCCAGAGCTGTTCCCAGCAAGACTCCGAAGGAAGATAAAGAGAAAACCACCAAAGATAAGGATTCCAACAGAAGGGTAAGGTCTCGAGAGGCATATTGCAACTTGGTTGCTCCCTTTCCACCTGAGAAGTAGTTGGGGCACGCAGAAACCAGGGATTGATGCTGTGTTGCCTCAGCCAACTGAGAGATACTGATTATCTTGAAATTTTAGTACATGCTGCCTGAACAAATGTACGACTCACATCCTGAATTTGCAAAGGTGTGGGGTTTATTGAATCTGAAACAAGAGATGTCTTTTCTTTTGCTTCAATAGATGTCCAACGCACCCAAAATCCAGTTGTCAGATGCCTCTCTGGAAGCAGAAAATGTCACATATCTCAGCCTTGATGGACAGGTAATTATGTATCTCCAAAGAGAAGAAAAGACTGCTAGACCATCACCGCACCGGTGTCTCACACCTTTCACGCAATTAAATTATTTAAGAGTGAATTGGATGAGGGCTGTCTTATGTAGATGCTGTCCTGGAGTTCTTCCAGTGACATCCAGCTGGAGGGCAGTCTAGCATTGGGCTAGAAGGTCTCTAAATAATCAGGCGTTTATTTAGAAGGCTTCCTTCATATTTTGGCTTCTTCCTCTGAACGTCTAGAATGCGTATTCGTTCTGCAAGCAGATTGATTATCTGGGCTTTCTCCTTTTTCCTAGACTGGTTTCTTGAGCTGAATTTTGTTGCTGTAAATCATTCTGAGGGCAGGTTGTAAAACAAGCTGTATCTCTGCAGTTTGAAGAGGATTTGCTAAAGATCTGTAGCTATATGCTCAGTCTTTCATCATGCCAGTAATGGCTCTAGACAGCATGACATTGAGAGAACAATGTTTATCTTCACAGCAGTACGTTGAAGCAGGAACATTCCTGGTGATGGAGATCAAGCTGGACAAGGCCTTGGTACCAAAGCGATTGCGAGAGGAGCTCACCAGACGGTGGGTAAAAACGTGCTGTAAATCTGGGGCTGACAGCTCATTTCTGCAGGATAGAAATGGGGCTGTACAGCGAGCCACCTCCTTGGAGTGCTTTGTAGGGACCAGCCGAGGGTCTGAGCCAAAGCCCACTGGAATCAGGGGGAGGATTTGGCCAGACTGCTTAAGAGATGGCATCTGGTGTGTTGGGAAAACACTTGCCTTCATCCGAGCTGGCATCTCCCTGCCGTTCCTCTCAAAAAGAGAGATACCAGAGCAGTGCAACAGTGTCTGTGTTCCCGTCCGGGCTTTGTTTTCCATTAATCCCCATGCGCTCGCCTCTCGCATGTGATGTTCAGCTGCTTGCTCAGGACTGGCCACCGGCGAGGACTGCCCTGGGTAGTGCTGCTGTAACTTCCCATAGCATTCTGTCCTTTTTTTTTTTTTTTTTTTTTTTTTTTTTTTTTTTTTTTTTTCTTTCCTCTCCTTTCCAGAAGTTTTCTCACAATCTTCTACCCGTTTCTTGGCTCCTACATTAGTTTTCCCATCGTTCTGCTGCAGAGCTGCTCTCTCACCTCTGCTGCTTTGAGGCTTCCACTGTCTGTTTGATTTGAGGCAGTTGTTTCCTGTCCAGTGGTAGCCCCGCTGCGTTACAGTCTGGGAAAGGCCCGGCATGTATAATTTATTGAATGAAAAAGAGAAAATGCAGCAAATTAATAAAGTATAACAAGTGTAGGTGGTATATGTCTCTCAAATATGAGCAGCAGCCGTTTTCTTTAAGGGAAAGTACGCGTGTTGTCTTCTGTGGCGCCTTCTAGGAAGAACGGGTTGAGGAAGGTGAACACCTCCTTAGAACAGACCTTCTCCTGACCCTTTTTTATACCATTCCTACTCTACCACAACTCGTGTGAATTCAGTGTAGTTCCTCCTCGTTCACCTGCCATGCACAGCTGCAGATATCAGGACTGAAAAATCAGCGCTTCTGAGTTGTGTGAAGGACCCTGTCTTGGCGGGGGGACTCTAGCTGATGGACACATACATGTGTCCTGGCAGACGAGATCAACGGTGAGGTTCATTTTCTGGAAGGATGTTTAAATACATATCCCCATAGCAAACCATAGCTCTCTTTCTTGGGCTCCATCCAGAAGCCTCCACCAGCCTCCGCTTGGCCCTCCTCTCTCGCTCGCTTTCCCCAGCTTGTTGGTGGTTTTCTGCTTCTCATCTGAAAGTGAAGCAGTTTGGTTTTCATCTGGCGGAGGTAACACCTCCGTGATGGGTGCTGTTCCGAGGGTGGGACTGTGAGCGTGGGAGCTGTGCTACCCACTCGTTCGGGCTTTGTGGCTTCCCAGGGGGTGGGAACTGGGCTCCGCAGAGCGAGGGGACCAGACTGCACAGCAGAGAGTGCGAGAGGGTCAGGGGCTCTGTAAGCTGGCAGAACAGTTACGGGAGTGGTTTATATTTGGTGGGGAATAAGCAATTTGCTCTGTTTGTAGGAGCCAACACAAGGATGTGACACCTTTGTTTGATGGGATGGATTGTGTTCTAAGGACCAAAGGTGTTTTGGCACCAGCAAGCAGCAAATCTTGATAAAAATCCCCATGAATGTAGGCTGTGTTGAGGCCAAGGATTTTAATGAAATCCTAGTCAAAAATATGGTAGTCCTAAGGATCAAGATTTGAAAGGTCGTTGTAACTCAAGGGGTGGCACGAGCAGGGTTGGTGCGGTGTCTAGGAGTCAATGTATAGCCAGGGGATGCGGTGCCACAGCCGCACTGTGCGATGTCGGGAACTGATGGACCGGGTGGCACCAGGGTTTACAGGGATAAAATTCTTCGGAGCTGTCCTCAGGTTGGTACCTGTTCTGGCAGACCCAGGAGGTTGCGAGTTAAAGGAATAGCAGCTTGATAAGAAGATCTGCTTCCATAGGAGAGTGTTTCTGATTGCTAGCAATTACAAATGTTAACCCTACCTGTTGGGCTGAGCTTCTACGATGGTTTTGGGTGGTGGGTCAGTCAAACCCAGTGAAAATAGCAACTAAATAAATCTTCGCTAATCCCCATGGAGTGTAATCATCAGCAGGGAGCGAGGCAGCAGCTAGATCTCTCGAGACATTGTGATGAGCTACGGGCACTGAATGTAGGTGCCTGGTTTAGGGTTCATTCTTAGGCTGAGACTTCAGTTTTCCCCCTGCCCGGGTCCCCGTGAGGTGTCTCGGGGTATAACGACAGGCTGAAGCCCTCGCACTACAGGCTGCCCGCGCTCAAGACAAGCCAACGTTGCCGGCGGTATGTCTGGCTGATGTCTTCTGTCCTCTCGTTGACAGGGTCAAGCAGATGATTCCTCCTCGCCCTCCGCTGCCTCCCCGGACTGCAGGAGCCAAGAAGGTACGTACGAGAGCCTGTGGCCTTGCCAGCACTCTGCCACCTCATCCTGCCCTCATCCCTCTCACACAGGAGAATCTGCATTCTCAGTCTGAGCCCCGCAGCAGCATGTAGATGAGGTTTGAAGAGGAAATACATGTCTGGATGCGTTACCTTTGCAGTAGTATGCCTTGGGAAGTCATTCCTGGGCTGCATCGCTCATGTTTGCAGCCCATACAAAGGGGAGAGATCGTAGATGTAGCAAAAGCAGGGAAGGCAGCAGTGTGGGGGTGTTTGGAAGGAAATGCAATGCTGGGGAAAGAGGCTATCAGAAGCTTTTGTTTACCCGCCCCGGGCAGTCCCAACAGTCTCTAGTCTCAAACTAGCCCGTGTGCTTCATCAGACCCAGACAAACATGAATCAGCCTCAACCGCTCTCAGGTCACCCAGAATTTTTGAGGACTTTTGTGTGTGCGACATCCTCAGAATATGGTCTGGGAGCGCTGGCTCGTCTTCTGTGGGTACAGAGCAGCCACCAAAGGAGGATGTCCTCGGATGGCCCCTGGCCGATGGTAAATTCAAAGCAACAGTGGGGGAAGAAGCAGCACTTCAACAACTGACCCCAGTGCTGCTGCAGAATTGATTTGTGCCGGACTGTCTGGAGGGCACAAGAGCGATACATTTTGATTGTCGCAGTGCATGGAAGCTTCTGCCACCCAGATTATAGAGATTACAGAGTCTGCTCAAGAGGGCTGGCCCGTGGGTTTAAAAGGCTCCCAGCAAATGAGATATGTTTTGCTTACAACCAATTACACTGCTATAGAAGAGACAACAATGACTGAAATACTGGGTTCTGATTGAAAAATACAGCAGGAGCAGTATCTAATTATGAAGGAGCTCTTTTGTATTTACAAGTAAGTATTTTCACAGCCCTGGGGCGTGGACAGGAAAGGATGCATGACAGACTAATTGAGACGAGTCAGGCAGAGTTTATGGGAGGCGTGAGCTCTAGTAAATAAAATACGTTTCAAGGTTGATGGCATAAGTGATTTGTGAACTTTGATTATTTATTTATTTCCTAGGCCGTGGAAGATTATCACAACCATGTCACGAGCATTGCCATCGCCATCCTAAGTGAATACCATGAGCTCTTTGGGAAGCAGCTGCCTGACCGGGGAGCAATAGACCACCAAACCCTGGAGGAACAGAAGCGTCAGCTCAACTTCGAGCTTCATAACTCTGGGAAATATTTTGCTTTTAAGGAACAACTAAAGGTAAAGAGTCCATTGTGCTTTTCGCTTCCCTACTTGTTTTGTCCTGGCAGTTTCTCAGTGAGGAGCTGCTGCTCCATGGTGGTAATTTAGGGTGATGTGTTGCTCCAGAATCCCTTCCTGCCACTCGGGGCTGTTGCAGTGGGCATGGGGAGGGACAGGTCTTCCCTCTAATGGAGCAGGCACCAGGCTGCTTTGGTCACACACCAGGAGAACCATTCCTGTTAAAGAAGGCAGGCTCCAAAGCTGGGCACATCCGTTTGCACCACGCTCACAGCTCAAGGAAGGCAAAGTTGACTGTTCTCACACACTCGCAGTCGGTGCCGGCAGAAAGAGGCGTTCCCCTCTCTCAGCTGGTCGTCCTCAGCCACGTTCTGCCTGGAGACCCCGTCTTGTGCTGAGGGGACCAGCCTTCCCCCATGTTGTCCTTAAAGGGGCACCGGTGTGTCAGAGAGAGGCAGGGCTGGGGAGTGGGAAAGGAATTCACCCTCTGCTTGCTTTTTTTTTTTTTTACTTTTATCAGTTCTGGGCTGGATTTCTTCCTCAGAACCAAGTTGGAGCTTCAGGCACAATCAGTGTTCTGACTCTGTATGATTACAGAGCTGGTGGGGAGCGTGGGGGGGACCCGCCTTGTCCAACTGTTGCGTGTCTCCACAGTATGCTGTTGTGAAGATTGTGAGGGAGAAATACCTGAAGACCACAGCATTTGAAACCCAGGAGCAACTCCAGGCGTTTCTCAGTGAGCTCTACGTGTACCTCATGGACCAGATGCACGTTGCCTTGAACCAGGTAGGGAGAAACCCTGACATGTGTCCCCTCCCCTGGGACGGGTGACTTGGGAGACGGCTTCCCTGTGGATCCGGGGCTCAACACTGCTTCTCATGATGGCAGGGGGACTTTTGCCTTCAAGACAGAAGCAGACTCGTGCTTTAATTAGCTGCAATTTTCACATGTGGGCCCCGAGCCGCACTCAGAGGCAGGATCTAGTGCATCTATATCCCACTGCTACAAAATCCTGATGGTGGGATGGATATGTGGGAGATTCCAGTAGTAAAAGCTGCTGTAGCTGGTTTGTCGTGGGGGTAGCTGGGTGGCACATCTGCCACTCACCCGGGCAGAGCACAGACCTTCTAGCGTGAACTGGGGTCACCAGTGACACCACAGAGGAAGTTTGAAATGGTCTCGATCTAGGGGATGTTTTTACTTGCCACAACTGCAAATAATAATGGATATTGCCCTGTCCCTGTGTGGCAGAGATACCCGGGAGTGACAGGAATGTGTCCCACCACAAACAGGAGCTGGGACAGCTTGCCTTTCCAACCTGCCCAGCCCCAGTCACACCAGACTGTACTCAGTGCAATGCTGGACTGGGGACTGCTGCTGTACTGGGGTTATGGGAACCGTTCTTACCCTCCCCGGGGCTAACAGTGTCTCGCTCCCTACCAGCTACTGTTCGAGGAGGCTGCTCCCCCTGTCCCCCCGTCCCGCATGACCGAGGAGCAGCTCTGGCTCTTTGCTCGCGAAGCTGAAGTCAACAAGGACTACAAGCTGGCATCTGTCTACCACCAGCAGGTAAAGCAGCCCCTGTTCTTTCCTGCCCGTCTCCCGTGTGTCTGGGCTGGCAGCCAGCACGCCATCGTGGCGGCGAGGGGCCCATGTTGCTGACAGCTCAGCCATCCCTGACCGTTCCGTACAGAGAAGGAAGGAGGTGAACGTGACCAGGATATTCAGGCTGGATGCGTGAGGGATTTTCTAGGGAGATGCTGCTCTCTGGAGGATGTGAGACAGAGCCTGGGCAGGTCACTGAGGACTTCAGCTTCGGGGCCAGGGGAAATGGGATGGGCTGGTCCAAAAGGCGTGCTGGGTCAGCACTGGGGACACTGGGCCTTCTAACAGGAGGCTAGGAGGAGGTCAGCTGAAGCTGAGGACGTGTTAGGTGAAGGAGGCTTAGAAGGAGCCCAGCATATCCCAGTAAAGGAAAACCCTAGCACGTGACAGACAAGGGTTTGATTGTTGCTAAACTGGGCTGAGGTGGCCAGAGGAAAGCCGTGGTCGTTCCAGAGTTGTTTTCCCAGTCCGTTGTGTGCGCTGAATGTGATTGCAGCAGTCCTCACTCCAACGGTGATCTCTTTTGTCTAGAGGTTAGGTCAGGACCAGCGCAACATCCAGTACTGGCTGGACTATGGGGCGTTCCGCCTCCTGCTCGAGGAGACAACCGAAGCCCAGGAGTGCTTCCGGCAGGCTCTTTCTCTGGACCCCCAGCACATCCAAAGGTGCCGCGTGCTCTTGGTGGGTGGGTGTCCCCCACGCCACTGCCTGGGGCCTGCAAGGCTAACCCGTCCCACCCTGTCCCCAGCTTGCTGCTCTGCGGGATTGTGGCAGTCGCGCTGCAGCACTACGAAGAGGCAGAGATTTTCTTTGAGAACGCCTGCTGCTTGGAGCCATCCAGCGTCGTAGCCTGGACGCTTTCAGGTACAAAAGCAAGGCAGCCCGTGTGCTTAAGGTGTTCCTACAGAGCCGAACATTGCTTCTGCCCCTGCTCCTCTTTTCCCTGCTCTAATCTGAGGTCTACGGGAAGGATTTTGCTAAGGGACGGACATCTGCTCATGCTGCTCTTTCTGTCTCCCATAGGTTTGTTTTATGAGCTGCAGAATAATAATATTCAGGCGGAGATGGCCTTCCGTGAGGCTAAGAAACTACTGCAAGCACAGCTCGCCAAGGAGAGGAGCATCCCTGAGGCTGCTGCGGGAGAAGGAGGGGAAAAGCAAATTTCTGCCGCGTGTGTGAGGTCTCCCAGCCCAGACCCAGGAGAGTCCTTGCCAGGTAACGCCGGGTAAAACCAGGAGGTGCCCTAGCACCAGCAAGGAGGGGGCTCAGAGCAGTGTGGGAGGTGGTGAACAGTGGAAGGAGAGGAGAAATTTCTGAAGTATTTCTAAGAGGAGAAATACAAAGGGTAAAGGAAGAGGACGTGGACTGTGAGTTAGGTGAAGTGTGAAGTGGACGTGGACTCACCACAGACTACAGCGGTGAGAGACAACAGCAGCACGTGTGCTGCTTTAAATGACGAAGCTTTCTGAAAGCAGCATAGCCAATGCCTTGTCTTACCCGCAGCCTCGCAGAGGGACCTGTCTTTGCATGTATTTGTCTGCCCCAGCTCAGTGCTGCTGACATACCGACAGGGGGGCAGTGGCCAGGGCGGCTGGAGGAAGCGAGTGTGCTTTTTGAGGCTTTGGGAGGGCAGAGCTGCCCCTGTGACAGTCATACATTAGGGTCACCCAGGTTTAGCTTTCATGGAAGTTGTGGCTGTGACTTCCCAACGCAGCTTGGACAGTGCTGCCTCACCGATTTGAAGGGCAAAACAGCTGCTCGGTGGTGACCCTGAACTGAAGGCTTCCTTTGGGAGCCTGACTACATCCAGGCTCACCCTGAGCCAAGACTTTCTGTCCCGAGTCCCAAATATTTGGCCAGGCTGCAGGGAAATGTTGGCTGGCTTTATTTTTAACGTTATCACTGCTCTGTGCAAAATGCTTCAGGCCAGCAGGCCTAGCGTCATATGCCTTTTTTTCCCCTTCTGATTATGAGGGAAAGGATAGTGCCTCATTTATACCTGTTTCCAGCTTCACATCATAATCCTGTTCTCAAAACCCCAGACCTAGGTATTGCCTCCTGAAAAGAAATTTCTTCCCAGTTCTGAAACTCTGGTAGATCTTTTATATTTTCTCTCTTCCCCATTTCTGCGGAATCACGCTCCAAACTGGGCAGTTTATGGCAAACCCGTTGTTTCCTCCTCATGGTTGTTGGGGATTTCATTCCAGATGGCTCAGCCAAAAGGGTGCCAGAGGTGGTGGAGCCAGCTCTGGCCTGTGCGGCACCCAGGGAAGAGGCTACTGCACCGGAGGCAGCCCCAAAAGGTTAGGGGATGGGGAACTGGTGCGTAAGGGAGAGCCCAGTGCTGGGAGATGGCTTCATGCGATCAGTGGGGAGGGGAGTAACCTGGGAGCACTGAGCCGTGGCCGTCCTGATGCCAAGGTGAGACATCGAGGCTTCTTCTCTGTCATCCTAGCTGGGGAATCTTCAGCAAAGCAGGTTCATGCCGATTTTCAGAGCAGCCCATCTCAGGATGGAGAGCCAGTGGGGGAAATGCAGCTCTCTCCCCACATGTCACTGCCCCCAGGAGCCTTCATCGGCTGCTCGGATGTCTCCCTCCTGAGATGCCAGCTCTTGAACTGGATCTCCTCTGGTTGTATGTTGGGTGATCTACCTTCTCTACAGCTCCACTCTCCAATGGGTGGCAACGAGATGGCAGTCCTGGCTGCTCCAGGCCCCGCTGGGTTGGTTTGGGGAGGCAGGGGCCTCGCTGTAGTTAACTCTGACAAGCTTCAATCATAAATTCCTACATTTTCTTCCTCTGAGTTTGGACTGGAAAATTAGCGGGTGAAGAGCATTGTTTCTTTTCCCATCTGTTATAAAAACTTGAGCCCTTCAGAAAGAAATGCTGAGTTGATCTCTGCTTCAGCCTCCTCTGCCGCCTCCCGGGTGTGAATCCCACCGTGTTGCTGGCATTCCTTTGTCCCCGCCAGGGTCTCAGCCCCTCCTCTCGCTTCAGAAATAAAAAGCCCAGTTTGGGACTGATGGAGACACGTTTTCTTGCAGCACCATCCCCTGTTTCAGGACTTAGCCAACCTCCCTGCACAATCTTCATGAAGACAGTGGAATTCCTGATGAAAGTCAATGCCGTCCAGGTCAGCTCAGCATGGAGTGGAGGAGTGGGAAGGGAGGTTTGCTCTCCTTCCCTGGGTTCTTACCAAAGAGCGGGTGGCAAGTTCCAGCAAGCCCCTTTCTTGGGTGCAGAGGACAAGCTGTGGCTACCCCAGCTGCCATGCGTGAGAGGGAGCAAAACCACCACTGCCCAGAAATGCAAAACTGTGGCCAGACAGAGTATTCAGAGCAAAACGCTGGTTGGGGGGGACACTGTCACCTCAGGCAGGTCAGCGTTCTCGGGCTGCCTCAGCTCAGCACCGCCTGCTGCGGAGGGAACAGCCGAATCAGGCGATGCAGATGTGCTCCTCTCTGTACGTTCGGAGACGAGATGCATTATTGTGATGCTTCCAAGACGCCAGTACTCCTTTCTTGTTTCAGACGCTTGTGTATATCAGAGTAATTTTTGTGTCACCTGTGGAATGTCCCTGTCCCACACAGTCGTCTCTGTGGGATCTCTCTGATTGCCATATTATGCTGTTTGCCTTCATTTTACATGGCAGAAAGAGTTGCTTAAAGCAAAACAAGACTAGAAGTAATGGCAGTAAATATTCAAAGGCGGGGGGGGGGGAATCTCCTGTCGGTTTTCTGGTCATAGAAGTGAAATAGGTGCGAGTCAGTCCTCCTGCCATGTCCTTGTGGGTTGCCTGTGGTTTGCCTGCTCTCTTAACCGCGCCGGTGTGCTGTTCCTCCGCAGTTTGTTCACATGGCGCTCGCCCACGAGCTGCTGAGCCTTCAGGGAGGTCCCTCCTGTGCATACTACCTGGCGCTGGCCCAGACTTACTTGCTGAAGGAAGATTTCTCCAAATGCGAAGAATGTCTCTGCGAGGCCGTTAGAATCGACTACATGGTAATTCTCTTGTGTGTTCCCGGGGGTGCAGCACGCTGTCCCGAAGCAGGACACTACCCAAACACCGCAGCAGACCCTGCCTGGGTTGGCCCTGTCTGTGAACCTGGAGCCTGTGTTTCATTTCCACTTGAGGAATTCTACTGCTAGTCTGCAGCAATTTCTGCAGGGGAGGATAATCATAGCTGATGAACCACATCAGGCTGTGGCTGCAGCGCTGCCCTCCTCATTACCCCGCTTATTACTTGCCTTCTGTCATCTCCTGCACAGACAGGCGGCGTTTCTGAGCCAGGACTCCTCTCTCTGCAGCGTCTGCCTTTCTTTTCCCTTTGAACATGTCTATCCTGATCCTCTTTCACTCTGTTGGTGAGTCAGGCTGTGTTTCATGAGAAACAAGGATGCTGTTCAGCAGAGAGGGAAGGCGGCTTTGGAGAGTCAGGTTGAATGGAAGGCAGAGAGGGCTGTGAAGCTGACATCTCCGAATGCCGTTTGCGTCCTCACGATACCTGGGGAGCCTTGCACGGGCCAGGACATTGGGCAAGGAAAGGCTGGAGGGGGCTCCCAGTGCTGCGGTGTTATGCAGGCAGCCCACTGACTTGATTTTAACTCTGCACGTAAAATCTGTCCTGCTATAATCAAACACCGGCCACCTCTTCCTTTCTGCTGATTACAGGGGTCCCTGCCCCTCTCCCAGGTCTCTGTCCCCTCCCGTCTCCCAGCCACGTCTCACTCCTGGTTTTCTGTGCACAGAATCCAAATGTCTGGGCTCAGAAAGGGCACCTGTGCTACCTGAAGAGGGACCTTCGTGAGGCAAAAGAGTGCTATGAGCGAACCATCAGTTTTGTGGAGGATGCTGCGGATATGCACTTTGTCTACCTCCGCCTGGGCTCCATCTACCTGGAAGAAAAAGAGGTAAGGAGCCAGCAGGAGCGGAGGAAGGGAATTTTACACAAAGTAGTACATTCCAGACCCCAGGTACAAGATACCATTATTTGTAGCTATAGCCCACATCTCACAACACAGCAAAACTGTGGAGCGCTCAACTTCTTGCAGCATGGACTTGTCCTGTTGCTTTGTGCTGGGCTCATCTGCAAGATCTCAGGGTGCTGCTAAGCCGTTCTCATCATCCTGGTGATGAGGTGGACTTCTACATTTCCCTGCCTGCGGTGCTGCCTCCAGCTCTGCCCTCCCCCCTGCATAAGAAGGACACGGAGCTGTTGGAGCGGGGCCAGAGGAGGCCCCGGAGATGCTGGGAGGGCTGGAGCCCCTCTGCTGGGAGGACAGGCTGGGAGAGTTGGTGAAAAAGGGGAGACCTCAGAGCCTCTTCCAGTGCCTAAAGGGGCTCCAGGAGAGCTGGGGAGGGACTTTTTCCAAGGGCATGGAGTGATTAGGATAAGGGGGAATGACTTCAAACTGGAAAAGGGGAGATTTAGATTAGGTATTAGGAAGAAATTCTTGCCTGTGCGGGTGGTGAGCCCCTGGGGCAGGTTGCCCCGAGAAGCTGTGGCTGCCCCATCCCTGGAGGTGTTCAAGGCCAGGTTGGACGGGGCTTGGAGCAACCTGGGCTGGTGGGAGGTGTCCCTGCCCAGGGCAGGGGGTGGGACTCAATGGTCCCTTCCGACTTGAACTCTTCTATGATTCTGTGACTGTATTAGTACCTTCCAGCACAGAGGCACCACGTCGGGGGCAGCGGGCAGGCTCTCGGCCCCCCCAGCAGTGGTGGGGACGGTGGGTGTCTGATCCCCACCAGAGCCGGGGTGTTTGGCAGATTGCAGAGGAGGAGGGGGGCTGTCTGCAGAGTGATGTGTTTGATGCAGAGACAAACACCATCGTCTCTCTCCCGGCAGTACGGCCGGGCGAAGCAGACCTACCTGCTTGCCTGCAAGAACTCTGCGTCCTGTCTCACCTGGCTGGGGGTGGGAATCGCCTGCTACAGGGTAAGTGGAATTACCTTCAAGTCGTCTGCCCTTTAATTGGCTCTGTGGCACGGGATGCAGAGCTTGTTTTTGCATGATCCCCTTTATTAAAGTAAAGCTTAGCTGCCTGTGAAACCAATGCTCCTGGCCGAGCTGCCGCCACAGTTGCCCCGGGCTGCTCATACGGGAGGTGTCAGAGGACAGTCACCCTCAGCGGCTGCTCTGGGAGCAGCAATCGGTCCCCCCTTGTCCCGCTGCCAGCACCTCCTTCCCCAGGATGTCACGGCAAGCCCGTAATCGGGGCCTGGGCTTTGCTTTGAGTGCCTGCCTGCACATGACCAGCATGTCACCACCGAGGAATTGAGCAGAATGTTAGCAGAGAGGAATCTGGGTGCTTTCCCTGCCCAAAGGAATCCAGCGCCTCTGAAGGGTTGCCAAGGACACCCGGCCACCAGCAGCGCGCTACCTCCCAGAGGTACACCTCGCAAGGTTCCTCCAAGGGAGTTTGGCTGAGGGATGCAAACAGGGAAGGAACTTGAACTTCTGTTTGCCCCTCGGCCAAATGTACACCTCCTGGGAGGCTGCGGACTCCAGCCAGGGAGGCGAGTGG